AGACACTTTGTTTCCAAGCCAAAGTTTCAACTGGAGTATTCTGTTGTCACAATGATGTACATTCAGATAAAAACTTGCAATTTTGTCCCCTAGCTAGTATCTAGAGTACAAATGACAAGTATCAGCAAGTTGGTTTCTTTTCTTTTTAAAAATTTTTTGGTTTATTTTCATTTATTGCCCCCCTCTTACATATATGCTTTCTCTGTCACAATAAACTGCTGGGAGCACTACGCTGCAGATCACTATGGCAAGGGCTAACTTGACTCCTTCCTCGGATAAGGCAGGGCCTGGAGGGAGAACAGGCGACAAGAGGGCGGAGCAAGGCCTGGCCAAGAAGAGGACTATCTCTTCCTTCCAGCCCCTTCACCAAAGAAACACCAAGCATGATGTCCTGCAGACCTTAGCTCCAGTTACAGCTCAGCCTCTTTTACCTTCCCCTAACTCTACCACTATAAATAAACATGTGACCATTTGTTGGGGGTCTTTTCCTCCCATCATGAGTTAGAGCCTCACTCCCGCCACCTGTACCTTATTATATCTCTTTGTCTTTCTTAATCTCTCACCTTCCTTTCTCACTCCCTAAACCCTTCAGCCATGGCAATAAATAGTACACCTAGGGCCAGGGATTTAGCTCAGTGCCATTCCATCTGCCTTGCAGGCGGCAAGGTCCTGAGTTCAATCCCCAATACCAAAAAAATGTACTTCTAAAATAAAATTTCCAGGGCCGGGGATTTAGCTCAGTGGTTTCGCCGCCTGCTGCGCAAGCGCAAGGACCCGAGTTTGATCCCCGGTACCAAAAATAAATACATAAAATAAAATAAAATAAAATTTCCAGGTTCCCAGCCTATGGAATTCTAAACTAGTGAGGGAGAGACAAACTGTTTCAGGGTTTTTTGTTTGTTTTGGTGGTACTGGGGACTGAGGTCAGGGCATTCTATCACCAAACTACATTCCTAGCCCATTTAATTGGGGGCGGGGGTACCAGGAATGGAACTCAGGACCTTGAGCTTTTGAGGCAGGCTGTGGAACCACTGAGATAAATCCCCAGCCCCTCAGCCCATTTAATTTTTAAGTTTTGAGTTGAGGTCTTGATAAATTGCCCAGGCAGGCAGTTATGATCCTCCTGCCTAGCCTTCCAAGTAGCTTCCTGACATACACAGAAATATAATAAAAGCAACTGAAACAACTGGATAAATATTTTGGAGAAAAAAATTTCCCAAATAATCTGATAGTCCTTTGCTTCCATCTTTGGTCATCTCTCAACATGTGGCCATAAATCCACCCCATACCAACTTTTTTTTGGTAGTACTAGGGATTACAGAATGCTAAATCACATATCTTAGTATCTTCTCATTCATTTCTCTCTTTTTTTTCTTTGGTGCTGGGGATTGAACTCGGGACTTTGTGCTTGGAAGGCAGGTGGCGGAACCACTGAGCTAAATCCCTGGCCCCTACAATTCATTTCTTTGTAAGAAAAAGCATTATTGTTTTAGCTGAGCATGGTGGCACACAGCTGTAACCCCAGCACTTAGAAGGCTGAGGCAGGGAGATTGCAGCAAGTTCAAGGCCAGCCTGAATTATATAATAGGACCTTGTCTCAAAAAAAAGGAATTTCACTAACATAGTCTTCTATTCTTCTGAGATAGAAGAAAAGTCCCTGCGAAGGTACTTTTTAGTTTTCTTCCATGGCTGCCCCAAATGCCCTTCAGCTAGCCCGGCTACATCATGTGCCCCATGGCCATTCTGCAAGATATATACTTTGGTTGCAGCAGACTTTGGACACAGACTTATCCTAGATAACTCAGCCCTGCAGCCACTCTGGATGATTCCAGCCCTCTGTACCTGCCCTCAACTAGGTCTGACAGGTGGGGTGTGGTAGCTCACACCCTTAATCCCAGAAGTTGGGAAGCTGAGTCAGGAGGATTGATATGAGCTGGAGCCCAGACTGAGCTACACAGTGAGTCCAAGGCCAACCTGGACTACACAGGGGGACCCTGTCACCAAAAACACCAAATAAATAAATATTAAATAAACAAAGTAGGTCCGAAAGGAGCGCTTCCCCTACCAATGACCAAGCATAAAGTCTGACAAAAGAGGCACGTATATGAGCCTCTTTTTCCTTTACAAGCAACTTCTCCATACCCTTAGTGGGTTTAGTCCAAGTACTGGTTCCCTTTTGCTGCAGTATAAATCCTAGCAAAGCATCTTCTAGACAGAATAGCTTTGCCTAGTCATGATTTCTATCTCAAGTACAGCATGCTGAGGTGGTATGCTAAGAGCAGGTAGCACCAAAGGGCACTGGCACTGAAAGCAGTCTGGCAGCAGAGAATGATGGAAAGTGACAGTGACAGAGAATGGCCAGAGCCTCCAGTGACTAGAAGAGCTCCCAGGGCCTGTTGTAGCTGCTTGTTCTTAATGGCAAACCAGGCTGCTAACAATAAGAGAGCTGACAGCCACAGGCACTCAAAGCCCGGGCTGTTAGCACTGCCAGTTCCTGATTTCCATACAAACTGAGCAAGAACCCTCAGCAGATTGTAGGATCTTAGAAAACAATTCCTCTTTAGAGCAACCTGAGAAGGAGGCAGACAATACTGATGGCCAACAGCAGGCTCAAGAACTGGCTCAAGTCTGTTTCCACTGTCACGTAGTTAAGAATCCACACTTACTGGTGATACTACCCCTGCTTTAAGATAAATTTTGATAACTGGTAGAATTCTAACTTTACTTTTCTTTTAAAAAATTACCTTGGCTCTTTACCTTCCACATGAAACTACAGAGATCTGACTGGGATTGAAGTTTATAGATTACAGGTTGGGAAACATTTTTAATAATGTCAAATTTTTTCCTTCAAAAGTATATCTCTCAGTGCTGGGGATTTAGCTCAGTGGTTTCGTCGCCTGCTGTGCAAGTGCAAGAACCCGAGTTCGATCCCTGGTACCAAAAAAAAAAGAAACTACAGTGATACAGCAGAAACTCTTTTAAAGATCAGGGAGCACATTGCTCTTTTCATTCAGAATTATACTGGATTTATTTGTAAACCAGTAGTGCAGATTAGCAGGTTTTTGTAATGACCCACCCATAACCAGGGAGCACTAAACTGTATTTCCAAGCCTATTTATTTATTTATTTATTTAAATTTTTGGGTACCGGGAATCAAACTCAGGACCTTGCGCTTGCAAGGCAGGCACAGTATCATTGAACTAAATCCCCGGCCTCTCCAAGCCATTTCTTCAATCAATCTCTCTCTCCCTCTCTCTCTCTCTCTCTCTCTCTCTCTATTTATTGCCTTTTATTTTTTGAGTCAAGGTCTCACTAAGTTGCCCTGGCTGGCCTGTGATCCTCCTGCCTCATCCTGAGAGCTGGGATTACAGGGGTACATGCCCATGCCCCATTAGTTTAGCAGTTAGGTGGCAAAGAATATGGCCTTTGGGGTATGGATGGCCTAGGGTGGGTTTCTAGCTAGTTACCCTGATACTTGTGAGAATGTAAGCAATATATGTAACCTCCTTAAGCAACAGTTCTCTCTTAGAATGAGGACACCAGTTGTGCCTACTACATGAAGTTGTTTTCAGAATTAAATAAAGCACTCTGTATAATTTGGGTATAATGAGTATTGAAATCATATTATTTTATGTACTTCTGATTTGTGCATAAATCTTAATTATTTAGGACATTTAAGTAGTACCATAATTTAATCTTTTTTTTTTTTTTTGGTACCGGGGATTGAACTCAGAACCATGCACTTGTGAGGCAGGAGCCGGAATAACTCAGCTAAATCCCCGGCCCTATAATTTAATCTTTTTAATAGCAAAGTGAACATTTCAAGTTTACTCAAAAGAAGGAACAAGAGTTATTTAGTTCTAAATGTGTTAATACTAACAAAGTCAATATTATTAAGTATATAGCTGGAGGAAATATTTAACTATTATAACTGTTCAGTATAAATGACTATCTTCTAATTGTGTATCTCCTGTACAAAACAACTTAGAAATATTGATACAACACAAAGAAAACACTATCAATACAGGGCAAAAATTAGATCAAATATAACTTTCTCTATATATATTTTTCCCCCCAAACTGGGGGGATGCTTAATAGATATTCAAAAAGAAATGTTCACAGTCAATATTTAGTAAATGCTGTTTTGAAACTAGCACTATTCCCTGAAGAAAGAAAACTGACTCATATAGTAATGTGCACGCTTCTCTTCAGGAGAGGAAAGTTGGTCAGAATGCTGCCCCCAACTGAGACCATGAAACCCTTCCTTCTCTCACCATTTCACAGCAATAAACTGTGAGCAATGTTGGAAACAAATTCTGCAAAATGGAGTAAATCAATACAGAGCTGGGAATAAGTATTCCCATTACTCTTTAATACAGACTTCAAGGGGGGAGCAAGATTTCAGACAAACTCTAGGAGAAGAAATGAAAAGTGTTACACACACACACACCAGGCACAGTGGCATGTGACTGTACTCCCAACATCCTGGGAAGCTACAGCAGGAGGGTCAAAAGTTTGAGCCCAACCTCAGCAACCCAGCAAGATCCTGTCTCAAAATAAACAATAAAAAAAGGACTGGGGATGTAGCTCAGTGTGAAGGTCCTGGGTTCAATACCCAGTACCACCCAAGGAGCAGGGATACAGAAGCGTGGTGGAAGACGGAAGGGTAAAGGGATTTAAAATGATCAAAATGGGCTGGGGATTTAGCTCAGTGGTTCCATCGCCTGCCTCACAAGCGCAAGGACCCGAGTTTGATCCCTGGTACCAAAAAACAAAATAAAATGATCAAAAAATGTCCCAATTCCCCCAAAATGAAAGTAACTATTACCTAATGCAAACATAAACTAATAAAAAAATGTGTTGGATGTGGTGGTGGATACCTGTAATCCCAGCACATGGGAGGCTGAAGCAGAAGAAGCACTGCAACTTTGAGGCCACCCTGGGCTACAAAGCAAGACCCTGTCTCAAAAAGAAAGAAAGAGCAGTAAAAATTTACTTACTTCACTAGAGCAGCTGCTTCAGGAAGGACATCAGCAAATGATTCACGAAATATGATTGCATTTTTCCTTTTACAGTTCTGTATGACATCATTAGCAAGGTAGAAGAGATTCAAACGGTGGGGATATGCAGCTAGAGATAACAAAAGACAATAAAAACCAAGTAAGTCATTTTATACTTAGTTCAATTTATTTCAATCATAGTGTTCTCACTATAGTTTGCTCAAATACAGTGTGCTATTTTTTCATAGATATAAAAGGATGAATATGATTACATACTGTATTTCGCCAAAAATAAGACCAAGTCTATCTTGGTTATTGTTCTCATTGCTGAGACAAAATACCTGGCACCCAAAGCTAAAGGAGGAAAAGTTTATTGTAGCTCACAGTTAGTAGAGGCTTCAGTTCACAGTTGGCTGGCTCCAAGGCAGGGTAGAATAGCAGAGGGCAGCAAAGCACCGAAGTAGCAAAGCAGCAGCAAGCAACCAGCATTGACCCCCTTTCTGCTCCTTATATTCTATCCAGGCTATCCACCCCTTGGGGTGGGTAGCACTCACAACCAGGATGGGGCACCCTTAATCCTAGCACTGCACCAGGACTCAATCCCAGCATCATCCTTGATCCCAGCATCACACACTCTAGATCCAGCCACTCTCCGAAAGCCTCAACTATGACCACATGGGGCTTTGGGGAGACATCTAGATATAAGCCATAACAGGGTCTTATATTAATTTCTGCTCCAAAAGATGCAATAGGCTTATTTTCAGGGGATGGCTTATTTTCTCACGTACAAAAATCTACATTTATTTATGTACAAAAATACAGTCTTCTGGAACATCATCATAATTCTCCAAACCCCAAATTCCAGCCCGAATTTCTTGCAACTCCATTTCCAATAGAACCACTGGCCCCAATCTCTCCTTAAATGAGCACTTCTTATCCCTGTAGCCTGCTCTAGTGCATTAGCAACACAGCTATCAGCGATTTTATCCCAGGAATTCTTCACCCAAGTCATGACCCATTCATTGCAAACTGGGCCTCATAAAGTTTCCATTAAGTCAAGCATTAATTGAAGACTGACGAGACAGGAGTGGAAACAAAAATGCTAAGTTAAGAATGATGGGGGGCTGAGGATTTAGCTCAGTGGTTCCGGCGCCTGCCTTGCAAGCGCAAGGTCCTGAGTTTGATCCCCAGTACCAAAAAACAAAAAAAATAAAAACTACAGCCATGCCCTTTTGGGCTGGGGATTTAGCTCAGTGGTTTCGCCACCTACTGCGCAAGTGCAAGGACCCGAGTTCGATCCCTGGTACCAAAAAAAAAAAGAATGATGGGCATGTGCTCGCTTCCGTAGCACATATACTAAAAAAAGAATGAGATAGGCATACAAAGGGAGGAAAAATTGCAGGCATCCAAATTCAGAAAATGTTGCTTTATTTCATGAGTGCATTAAGTACGTCCATTACAACACACAACCTGTTCAATTATGAAGATTCATATTAAACACAACTACATCTGTTCATTATCAAGTGCACATGTTATTTGTGTGTTGTGTCTGTCCTCCAATTGGTCATTTGGCAGTAAGTCTCCAATTCATCTGCTTACACAGGCGTTTACCGCTCACCCAAAGGTGCCTGCTACGGTACTTACAAACAATTATAATTTATATTATCATTTATTTTAAGTATTAATGTCAACATTGTTTATGTTTAATTATATATTATATTATTTTATAATTCAGTATGTCCACTGTGTGTTGCAAAAGACATACTAAATGTTTCAGTCTGCCTATCTTACTTGGGGCTTATTTTGGGGTAGGGCTTATATTGCAAGCATACTGAAAAACTGTGCTAGGGCTTATTTTCTGGTTAGGTCTTATTTTCAGGGAAATACAGTACATAGATGGAAGAAGGAGGGGAAAAGGATGGATAAATGATCTAATGGATCAGTTTACTGAATGTACTAAAATCTTCAACTACTTCAGGTTAAGTTTCTGTTCAAGGTACCCCTCAAGTAGATTTCTCCTTTAGAGTGTAGCACTAAAAACAAAACAAACATTAACTGTAGAGAAACTAAAACAAAATTGTTCTCCCAGACATTTGGAGAGACAAAAGTATTGAGGGGCTTTTTTGTTTTTTGAGACAGGATTTTGCTTTGTAGTTCAAGCTGGCCTTGAACTCACTACATAGCCTAGGGAGGCCTTGAACTTGTGGCAATCCTCCTGCCTCAGACTCCCAAGCGCTGAGATTACAGGTGCCCAGCTCAAAAGTATTGAGTTGAATAAACAACTTGTAGAAATACCAAGGTTGGTGGAAAGAACACAGGCTTTGGGAATCTAAGCAGAATGTAACTGATAATTGCTTATTATTACTACTATTATTGTTGACCCTTTTAACCAATTAATCTAGATATGACTCAGATACACATAAGTCATCCTATCTACTAGAAGGGTGTGGAGAGCCAACAGCTCTATAAGCATTAAGGTGAACAACTTGGATTTCCTATGAAAGGGTTAAGCGAAATATTGTAGAACTTGCTGCCCAGCTCTGAAGAAGTTAGGCGTAGGAGAAAGTGATAAGAACAGCACAAGGACACGGAGCTAGGGAAAAGAAAACACAGGACTGTCTCAAGGCCTGGGAACTTTTCAGATGTGCCTTATGTAAGATGTTTTTTATTCTTGAGGGCTATAAAAGAGAGCAGTAAAGCCAATAAAGCAGCTCGGATGCTGGGAGCTCCCCCGACTCTGTCTCTTTGTCTTTCTTTTTCTTCATCCTCACT